TAATGAAACAGTTTGTGAAAGCATTAGACAAAGAAGGAGATTGTTTCAAGTATCTTTCTGAAAAGTTTCCTGGTCTATCCGATGCTAAACTAAAAGAAGGAGTCTTCGTTGGCCTGACATAAGAAAACTTTTGAAAGATGAGAGATTTGCCACTAAAATGGAAATGAAAGAAAAACATGCTTGGAATTCATTTAAACTTGTTATAACATTCTTTCTTGGAAACAAAATAGTCCCAAACTACAAAACTTTGTTTGCTGAATTGAAACAAAACTACAAAATGTTGGGCTGCAACATGAGTGTCAAAGTCCATTTCCTTCACCCACATCTGGACTACTTTCCCGAAAATCTAGGGGCTGTAAGTGAGGAACAAGGAGAACGGTTCCATTAAGACATAAAAGAAATGGAACGCAGATACCAAGGTCGGTAGAATGTTCATACGATGGCAGACTACTGTTGGATGTTAAAAAGGGAAAATTCACAAGAACACAGCCGAAAAAGTACCAAAAAAGCTTTGACGGAAAAAGGAAACGTTTTTACAAAGACTTATAATCTCTTTGCAAACACTTGTTAATCACTATTATGCTTAGTTTAGCTATGTAGCATTATTTTTTTTGTTTTTACTTCATGTTGAGATATTAAAAAAATTATCCACAATTCTTCGTTTTTTTTTGTACTTTTTAAAATATTTCATCCTTATTTTGTAGGCAAACCTTACGTGATAGATAAAAACAAATTTCATTTTTTAAATCAGCGCAAAAAACTACATAAAGATCAGTTAACGAAATCGAAACAATTTTTTAAAACATTTTTTTGCAGACCTGTGTTATTCACCCTGAATTTGAGAATAATCAATATTCTCAGAAATATTATCTTTTTAAAATCTGTTTGTTTGAAATCTGTGTTTGTTAAAAAAAATAGATCAATAAAATTTTTTCAGGTGATGCCACAAACTGAAGTTCTCGGGGTCAAATCCGTTGCTAAGGGATTAGAATTGACTTTGAATAATGGAAAAGTAATAACAGTAGATTACGCCATCGTTGCTGTTGGAGTGGAACCGAACACAGAACTAGCAGAAAAGTCTGATTTGGAAGTTGATCCAGAACTTGGTGGATATTTAGTGAATACCGAATTGCAAGCTAGGACTGATTTGTACATTGTGAGTTGAAATAATTTATCAATTGGCGATAGTACCGTCTTTTCTCTTGTATTACTATAAAAAAAAACAGTCTGAAATCTTTTACTCTTGTACAGTGGTAGGGATTTGTTCACAAACAAATAGCTTATTTTTTGGCCACATGAAAAAGATAGAAGGCATCTCTGAAATTTTTCTTTCTCTGAGGTTCTTAATGACACAAAGCTACGTTCATCTAGTTCTTGATGATATTGAAATTCATCATGGTGAGTGTTCAAGAATGTTTGAGTAATTCTCAACAAAAAATCATGACAGATTTGAGTCTTTTTTTATTTCAAAACAACAGTACATTGATTTGTAATGAATTATTTTTTGATTTTCTGTAGATTTAACATAGCAATATTACTATTATAGGCCGGTGATTGTGCATGTTTTTATGATCCCAGGCTGGGTAGGAGACGGATTGAACATCATGATCATGCTGTGGTTACTGGCAGATTGGCCGGAGAGAACATGACAGGGTCTCGAAAGCCCTATCTACATCAGAGCATGTTTTGGTCTGATTTGGGTCCGGACGTCGGATACGAGGCCATAGGAATAGTAGATTCGTCACTTCCAACTGTTGCGGTATTCGCTAAAGCGACAGATAAGGATAGCCCGAAAGCTGTGGTGACCGCTACGGATGAGGGGATCCGGTCAAATATAGAACAAGAACAGGTGGGTCTTTCTATCAGCAGTTGTTGGCTGAGCAGAATTTCTCGTACTATTTCTCTCGTCAAAATCTCGTACCATTTGAATGACATACACAGTAAGTTGGAATCAACATCCAATGTACTGTGTACTGTGTGAGGGAAACTGTAATTCAATTTTGAAAGATCGGGAATTTGACGTTTATACAATTGTGAGGCATTTTAAAAATTGTGTCTCAACTTTTCCAAGAAACACTGGCTGTTTATTATAGGAAAATTCAAGCTCAAAATGTGTTTCATGTCTAGAAGTCTAACCTCAAAACTTATCACGTGCACGTGCGTACGTATTTATCTGTGTAGACCAGCCACTTAAGCATAAAAAAAGGGGTTAACCTCGGAATGGGAGGTAAGAGGCTAAATATTTGTATATACCTTTATTATGGCGTTCTAAAAGCTGACTCAAAAGTCTCATATAATCTCGGGTCTGTACTGGAAGTTATACGAAGTCAAAGGTAAAAATAACAGTTTTTCGCGGTTATTGCTCCCATGATGTTAACATCTATTACAAAAATTGTAAAGCATAAAATTTAGGATAAAATTTATATGAACCTTTTTTCCATGCGCTCAATCGTTTTTGAGATAGAGGGCGGTGAACGCGCAGCGCTTTGCCGTGCGCACTGTAATCCAAGGTCAACCGTGAATATCTGTGAATATTACCCTTTTGAATAATTTTTATTATTTATCAGTTGATATATTATATTTAAAAACATTCAATACTTTATTTAGTAATTGTAAAAACGGATGTGGTCCACGGTGCGGATGTAGAAAATCAGGGTTGCAATGCACTTTANTTGGTTAATAAATTTGAGAAAATATATCTGAAGTTCTTTATTGTCCGCTATTGAACTACTGAAATCTTTATGAAATTAAATTCTCAATATTTCGGTCCTGAAATACCTCGATAGGAACCCAACCTAATTGTTGCCATTCTTGTGAATTTACATCCAACTTGATAATAATCGGCATAATCTTTGAAGTAATCTAGGAAGGACCAAAAACCACATCAACATAGTTTGCGTGAGATAACACTATAAACTGACATGAAGTTGTTTTAATCGCTTCTCCAGAATATTTTCATTTGAGTATATCCATCTCAGGCCATTATAGGCTCTTTTCAGAATCAAGGACACGTGGGAGGAATCTCTAAAGGTGTTGTCGATAATGAGTTCCAAATTTTTGGGATATTCTCTATAGGTAGGTACATACTCATTGCCAATCAGAATTTTCAATTCTGATTGGCAACTTAGTTGGATTCATTTTCAAATAATAATGATCAGATAGCTGCGTGAGAGACTTGAGTATTTGAATATTAATAGCATATGTGTGGACTGAACAGTAGGAAATCGTGATGTATACATCACGAAAAGGAGAAACAGTCCCTACTCAAATGTACGAACCAATAATTATCGATCTGGAATAGTTCCGAATCAGTTCGGAGAAAACCAAAACACTTTGTGAACGATACTAGAACGATTCTAACTGAACCAAAACATATTTTAATAACTGTGCATGATCGAACTGTACAGAATTGTGAACCAAAACAAACCTTATATGAGACTTTTGAGACAGCTTTTAGAATGCCATAATAAAGGTATATACAAATATTTAGCTTATTACCTCTCATTCCGAGGTGAATCGCTAAATTAACAGGACTATGTGGCCTTGAAGTGAGAATAGTGTGTAGGTAAAAATCTGAAGTGAACGGGAACACAAAACATTATTTTATTTATTATGATTTTTTCTCGATAATTCAGTAATCCGAACAATCCAATAATCCGACACCCTCTGGTTTTGAATAGTGCCGGATTAGTGAGATTCTACTTTACTTTGATTTTTTGGACATATTTTTTGTTTTTCAACTTATCTGGGCAGCTTATTAGTATTCATTACACCATTGCAACCATGTAACGTTTTCTAATTTCTGTTTTTGGTCTGCTCAGATGTAATTCCTGAAATATTCTCGTGCATTATAAGATAGCTTTTTGAAGCGTTTTGATAGACTATGAAGAGTCTTGAGGAAGCTATTGTATAGTAAAACACGTATTACGGTTTTATAAACTGTCCAATGAAAATTTCACAATAAAAATATGTTTTTGTAAAAATCTTTTTTTTATGAATTTCACTACTATATAAAATGATTTGAAATCCCTGAAACAATTAAAAAAGAAGAATTGAAAATGAATAGCTGAAAATTACAATTATATTAAGCAAAATAAACCTGAAATGAAATAATAGTGAAATAAAATACAAGTAGAAATAGAACAATTGAATAAAT